ACATACGCCATTTAACTCTGGTTTCCCCCTCCCCACCCACCAGCTCGACCAAGCATCAATCTTTTCGGGAGTCGCCCGTATGGGTTCCTTTCCGATTCTCCCGCGAACAGCAGGCACCATCCTGGACAGCGGCTTCCACACTATGGTCACTCTCTCTTTCGACTGCTGTACACCAAAGACACGCGAACAACAATGAATCAAGAGAGTGCAGAGGAGCTCACACACATGTTTCACTATCATCGAAGTTCACCACCTCGACGGGTGGGCAGACCTCTACGCTTGCTGAGGGGCTCGGAGTTTCAAGCACACAGCAGTTGGAAATGCAAAAAATACTTGCGGTCAGGCTCTTGTGTGTGCAACCCTGTGTGTCGGATTGCTTGTTACAGCAGTTCAGTAAATAAATCCCTGCACGCATGCACAAAGCTATGCATAGTGACGAGGACGACGGTGATCTGACAAATGCTACGCGTACATGCCACAAATACTCTTCTGACAGCTGAAGAAGATGATCATGGGCAAGTCAGGCGTCGCGCTACTTGCGCTGGCCCCAGGGAGCGTGATGGTCGGGGCGGCGAACCTGAGACAAAACGAGATGGTCGTTCAGCACGCAACCAGCGCATCCCCGCCAACTAGGAGTCATGCGAGCGTGAGTGCGACATATGAACGAGGACATTTTGACTGCTGCTGCTGCGTATTATATGTATGTAGGGACAGCAGATAGATAGATCCAGATCCGTTGTACTTCCTTCTACACAGTATATATGCCTCGTCATCCCCCTGTTCTACTTGTAGTGTCTAGAATAATAGAACGGAACAACCACTGCTGTATGTATGTTCCCTACAAATATAGACTACAATACCCCATACATATATTTTTTTCCCACGCTGTAGTCTAGACTATGCATATCAGCAGTAGGACTTCCGCGTGCAGGGCGTACTCTCACAATACACATCATGTACACCGTAGTCGTTCTGTTGTGTGGTGATGCTCTATCAAGGTATGCGCCGTCGGTGTCGGTACGACCCAAGATTACACCCAACGATCATCACCACATCCCGTGGTCATCTTTTGGGTCTTGAACAGGGCCGAATTGTCGCCCGGATTCGATGACTACTGTAGATAACACCCCCTCAGATTTTCGCCACGAACACATGTACGGGGTCTGTGCTACTTGTCGCACGAAGTGCCGCGATCATGACCATAGTGAAAATGTAAGTCACACAATACACCCTTCTGTTTGCCGGGGAAGCACACTGGCCCTCTGAGACAACGGGAATGTTCCGCAGGGAACAAAAGTCTGTTGGATAGGACGAAAAGTCTGTTCTCCTTGTCGTACAGACTATGATGGCACAGCAGTGGCACAGCAGCACACACTGCTGTACGCGTTCGATCATCATGAGGTGTGGCACTGCTGTCCAGCCAACGAACGACTGCCGTTTGAAGCTGTGCCCAAACATCTAAACATTCCTACATAATATTTTTCCTACATGATGAAAGTCGGTGATATTTTTTCCTTGTAAAAGTCACCCTGTTTTGTCTCTCGCCTTTCCCCTGACGCCCCCCCCCTCTCGTCCCTTTCTGTTACCCTTAAATCGTCTCTCTACCAACAGCGTCACCTTTACGACTCTGATACCTCTAAATACGAATACATCGGGTGTTTCACGGACAGCCAGGAGGACCGCATCCTGGACGACATGCTCACCTCGCGTACTGACATGTCTACTGAGGTAAACAAACGCGGATCGATCGCTGGATGCGACACGCTGAAACACAAGACTGAAAAATGTGCCCAGTTTCCAGCCGGGTCCCCTCCACTCACTGAAAATACTCCCTTTCGACCTTCGGTTATATCTCGAACGGGATAGATGTTTTTCTAAAATGTATATCTTGGTACCTCCTACTTCGTAAGAAACACGAGTGGTTTATGAGCGTTGATCGTGGGACTTGTTGCCACACTAGAAAGGGTAGGGTGTGTTGCTGTTCTTTTCTCGCCCCGTGTTTCACGATGGTGTATGTATTCTTTTGCTCCCATCAAGGAACGAACGTCTTCCATGGCCTGACGCTTATCTCTGCGTGTACGGCCTACCGCTGCCGCCACGCTCCTCGTGTTATTGTTCAGAAATGCTACGAACATTGCATGGAGATGGGTGCCGAGTACATGGCGACCCAGTGGGCGCAGGAGTGCTTCTGCTCCAACAATAAGGACCTCGAGTATGACCGACATGGATCGGGCGCAGAGTGCGACATGAGCTGCACGGGTGTTGAGGTAAATTACATCAACAAACGTGCAGCGAGACTTCTGGTGGTGGCGTGCGTAGTGTTTAGACCAGTGCCTCCTCGAGGTATATGTTGGAACCCGAACCACCTGTGGCAACATATGAGGCTTGACGGTTTGACAAGAGACGGAGCCCTGAGATAAGAGGCTACGCCGTCCCGTAGCGGAGAGGAATCAAGCGTCAAAGGTCTTGGCGACGAGAGGAAAGCCTCAAAAAAGGTCACCACGGCAATGGCAACTCACTTAAAATATAGCCTTCCAGCTGATGCTTCATACAAGGTTAGGAAAGCTATCTGACTCCAACAACAATCGAACGCACGACGCGTGCAGGGAGAGACGTGCGGAGGAAACCACGCCTTCGACCTGTACAAGCTTGGAGGTTCCGCGGACAACCCGCCCTCGCCCTCGCCCTCCCCCTCGCCCGACGACATGGCGGGGCTCCTCGACTTGCACAACGAAGCAAGGTGAGACGTATGAATGATATATGTGTACAGTAGATTGGCTTCACCTGCCCCGTCATTCCCAGTAGCAGGGCTTGCCCATTGTGGTAGGCTTGTTTGTACTGCGGGAAAGATGTCACTGCACAAATCGCGCTTAAAAAAAAACAGCACCTCGACTTCGCTAGGATCCATCGACAACCAACGCAATTCGATCTGTTTTTATATATTTACAAAACTCTTGCTCTTGCTCTTGCTCTTGTACTTCCACACCCTTTTCCCCGCGTCGCCTGAGTCCAGGTGCGTTCACAGTGCGGACCCTCTCGGATGGAGCGACCCGGTGACGTCTTCCGCCGCCGAACACGCGGTGAGGCTCACGGACCAATGCACCTCGAGCCTGTTCCACAGCACTCGGGAACAGCGCTACGGCTACGGCGAGAACCTGTTCGTGTGCTGGGGCACGGACACGTGCTACAACCACGATTATGCCATGGAACACCTATGTAAGTTTCTATTATTTCTCGAGCGTCGTTGTGCGCTCGCTGGGAGGCAGTCCCGCACATCGAGTTCACAAGTACTTCGGCCTCGTTAGCACGACTCTGTAGACACTTGACGGGTGAGCAGCAAGCGACTATGAAGTGGGCGTGCCGCCTGAACCGTTGTCGACCACAAGTGCTCCCCCCTTTTGTGCCCATATGGGGATTCCAATAGTGCCTTGCCATGTTTCTCCGTACCTCACGCTCAGCGCCAATATATCGTGTCTTAACATCTAATCATGTTGACCCCTGCTTTTGCCGAACCTATGCCACAGACGTCGAGGAAGTCCAGTTCGACGATGTTACCGATTACATCGGCCACGCGACTCAGATCCTGTGGAAGTCTACGAAGAACGTCGGATGCGTCTTGGCGGGGTGCAGCAACGGCGGAACCCCCTACACGTTCCTCGTGTGCCAGTACGACCCAGCGTGAGTTGCGAGCTCAGTGTTGGGTTGCCTGACCCATGTCGGAGGAATATATAATCTTGTCTCGCGCGCGTTGTTGTCGCGGTACACGGTTGTGTTGTCGTCGAACTAGCTGGCATGCATTGCAGTGCAGTGGACGGATTGAATTGTACAGGAGCATGTCACTCTCGTTCATGCTAGTCGATTGACGTGCGTTGAAGGATTGACTATACCGGAGCAGTCACTGCGAGAAGATGCAAATGGACCCAAGCGTTTTTTGTTGGCAGTCGGCGTTGCCTGTTGTCCAAACTACTTGTGCTTGCGCGTGCGAAAATGTTTATTTGACTGTTTCTTCACTTGCTTCTGTTTTGTGCTGTATCTCTCGTGTTACGTGTGTTCCACCAGGGGCAACATGGGCGGCGACGATGAGTACAGACAGGAAGTGGGGCTACCTGACCCTAACAACTCGTGCTAAACGGGCAGACCGCCACGCGCTGTTGCTCCTCTGCATGGAGGGGCGGGCGGGCGAAACTATTGCAACGATCATGGATTTTGATATTGACAACCGTAACCGTCGTGCGGTGCATGAACTACTCCCGATGGCCGCGGGCGCATAAAAATGCGCCGAACACCAGACTCGGAGCCTTCCTCCGTCGACCGGTCGTCGGGGTTGGGGGGGGGGGCTTCACAGCAACGCTCGAGTAGTTTCGGGCTGCGTTTATTCGTGCTTGTACACGTATTGCAGACTTTTTTGTGTTGTTCCGCTCTTGTCACTTGTTATTTTTTACTACGGTCTTGTTCGATCCGGAGGTGGTTAGAATTTTGGTTGTTGTTCGTTGTTGTAGGGTTAGGGTTAGTAATTTTTTTTTCCCGATTCAGTCGTGATCTGCGGGCATATGGCATGCTTTTGAATAGGATCTCGATTCGGTGTGTTGTGCCGGATGGAAAATACTGCATCGTTGTTGCAAAGTTCTGTTGTCGTACGCAGAGGTCGGCGAGAGAAAGTACTCTCAAATCTGATGCCGCCAAGAGCCTTGCGCACCGTTGGTTTGTGTTGAGCACTGGTGAACCCTTTGCGGTCTACTGGAACCACTTGACTATCCAGTCCCCTTGTTGGGTGATACCGTCAGACCTCGGAAGGCGCATGCATCAGTGTGTTGGACCGGAACGGACATAAGATAGACCGCTGGCTGAGCAGGAACCGCCGAACGGATTGTTCAATGTCAAGACGAGGACGAGAACACAAACCAGATTGAAAACGCTTTCCACGCCAGCTGAAAAATTTGGTGGGTTGCATTAGATAAAATTAGACAATCTCTGACTAGTCGGATGGTCTAATTTTACCGATTAGGTTGCAGTCGTGGTTCCGAATACAAGGTGGAATGACGAAAAGGCCCTCGACCCTCTTTTATATCGGAGGCTTACTACACCGGAATGGCGGGGCCCCAACAACTTTTGCGGGTCGAGTCCTTGACAATCGATTTCGACCCTCTTCTATCGGAGCCCCCTCTTGCAAGGGACCATTCTGTCGGAGCCACGCCTACGTAGCTGTATGCTACTTATATACTCTTCAGTGTAGAACGAAGCTGACCATCAGCGGGTCGTGCCAGAAGTGCAATCTCTGTACCATGACATTGGACCGTAATTACCGGCCGTGTTGGCTGTCGACATTGCGGACGCAGGTACCACAGCGATCCATCATTCATGGCACGCATTATGGACGCGCTCATCGCAATACAACCATTTCCTAGTGCTTGTTTGCTCTTCTGCCACAACGCGGCGCCAGAGAAGCGAAGTGCCGGTTCAACATGCGGCGAACCGTCGTATTGTCGTATCGGGCAAACAGGAAAGAGATGGATTCGTTGTGTCATATTAAGAGAAAAAAAAAAAACATTAATAATAATAAAAAAAAAGTTCAGCTACATGCATATGCCGCTTGTCGTACTCGTGTACAAGTATGCATATGCCGCTTGTATGTACTCCGGAGTACCTTTCTTTTTGTAGCGGAGCACACAGAGAGGCCCCGTGAAATCCCAACCAGACCTTCCTGGAAGTGAAGGGGATGGAAGACGCCGTGGTATCATCGTGATCTCCGTGTCTACCCGACGTTGTGACTCTATTACTGCTGCCAGCTTGTGCGACGCACACACGTTGAAACTGTAGTAAATTCACAGTACCACCGACGAATCCTTCTCCTGCACGACAAACAAACAAACGCACAGCCCAGCTTGTATTGTACGCTAAGAACCGGGAGCAGCTTTCCATGACGAGATTCTGGTCTAGGCGTCGCTCGCTGCTAGGCCGGCGTGAACATGAGCTTACTTCCGGGAGCTCGGGCAATAAACCGCCCAAGCTGTGGCCAGATGCTGCTGCGGGGAAATCAGCATCGATCAAGGTGAATAATATCCGAAATCGTCCCATCAATCGTAGATCCAGGGTGTTTCTGTCTTTACTATTCGCACCAACCGCGCTAACCGGCTGAGCATGGAAAATTTGTCAGTCTCAGTGCGGTTGAAAACACACAATGCTCTTACGGCTATGATCTGGGGCTCCGTGAGAAGGCGTCATTGGTGAGGCTAAGCGATACTCTCCGGATAAAAGACAGAAGAAAAATGTAACTACGACGTAAGAAGTGAAGAACAACTATCATTGTTTTCGTCTACATACACTCTCCGGACGGAGTAGATTACTTTCTCTTAGTATTTTCAATGAATTTACTTGGTGGAGCAAGTACTGATCTACGAGATCTCCAGGGAGTACTTGGGTGTTAGGGAATGATGATGGACGACACGACGTGCGAGGCTTTCCTTGCCTCGCCCATGTCTCTCACTCGTTAGATTGGTACCATGATCAGGAACTTGAATCACTTCATCCTTCTTCTGTGCATGGCGCTCTCGACAAAGGCCCGCGAGCTCGGTACAATAATAAAGACAAGCGCCGACACTCCAAACATCATCATTTGGCCCACGCCTAGAAAGTGTTGTGTGTGCATTGTGTGTATGACATGAACGAGCGTTCCCGGAGGTCATCGGCACAAACATTAAGTAAGGTCGAAACAGATCAACATAATAAGTCCCTCATGGGAACAGTGGGACCCAAAATTATTTCCTCACTTCCCGACCCTATGTATGCCACCTAAAAACAACACAGAAATTCTTACGGAATGGAGGGCACGTGGATGCCAGGAACAAGGACACCATGTGGACCCTGCTTCACACTGCGTGTCATGCCGGCCAGAACCGAGTGGTCGAGGTCCTCGTGTCCGCAGGAGCGAAACTTGAGAGCGAAGTGGAGGGTCAATATAACCCTCTCCTCCTCTGCTGTAGCTGCGGTTGTCACAATAACATGGTCTGCCCGGTGTTGCGGTCGGTTCCCAACGAACACGTCGAGGATCTCGAACATTTCGAGGAGTGCGGACACATGAAAGTGAGTATAGGCAACCGGTCTTTCACAAGGTAGAGCGTTAAGGGTTAAGCCGGGATGCCACTACGAAGAGCGGTCTATGGCATCGTATGACGGTAGGACCACACAACCTATCCCCAAGCTCGTCGGGGAAGAGCGAGCAACAATGACCACTCTCCGATTTCCCTTCGCGAAACGAACGGAACAACTAACGGCAGGCGGCCCGCGTTCTCCTCAAGGCCGGAGCGAACCTTGAGAGCACAACCGACCAGCTGTTCACGCCGCTCCTGATCGCTGTCTTCAACGGCAAGCTCGGCCTCTCCAAGTGCCTCGTGGCTGCGGGAGCCAACGTGGAAGCCAGGAACAAGCAGAGCTACACCTCCTTGACTATTGCCGCGCAGCAAGGACATGCCGACATAGTGGGGTTCCTTCTGGACAGGTGCGCTTTCTACAGACCACATTGAATCCCCCCCCCCGCTGCCGCACGTCATCCTGAGCTGGATTCCACGCTTGGTTCTATACGTCGCAGAGAGGGCATGCGACAAGTGACAATAAATGGTCTCACACGCGTTGTTCAGCTCGCAACTCTCTTCGTGCGGTGGGTGATATGTCAAACCGTGCTCTGTAGTGTGGTACACTGTTTGTGCTCGGCCGGCCCACAACGAGATACCAGACGTATGGAAGCCACGTGTCGTAGTCTGCCGAGAGTTTCGGGTATCGTTTAGGCCCGAAGCATCTTACTACCCACCCCCTTCGGGAGGCGTAGTTCTATTGGCACCGAACAAAAAAAAGGAGTTCATGCCCAGTTTGAGAGACCGCTTATAGTAGCTCCGAGAGTCAATCGATTGGGCCTGGCTGGTACACGGGCGGGTCGAGAGTAAACGTAATGTGCCTCGTGGTATCGTCAAGCGTTGTTTTGATTTATCGACTTGACAACGTTTGAGTACCTCAATTCTCTCGTCACACACGTACTTAGTTGTGAACTCATTCAAAATCCCTTTTATTTCTCGCCGTCGTCGCCCGCCGGACCCCGCCACCACACAGCGGCGCGAACATCGAAGCCAGGACGAACACCAAACTTTCCCCTCTCATGGTAGCCGCGCACGAGGGAAGAGCACCCGAGGTGCAGCTTCTGCTCAGGGCCGGGGCTAGCTTGGAGGTGGGATGTCTATGCAGTTAGTGCCAACGAAGCAAACGCGGGACGAGCATCGTATTTGGAAACGAAAGGCGTGTATAAGGCAAGAGTGAACCCCTCAATGTCCGTTGGTTGCCCCGCCCCACTCCCCACAAAAAATCACCCGGCCAAGAGTGGGAGAAAACATGACACCTTCCTTGGGGAATTCGTCGCAAAAACAAGTGCGTATCCCCCCTTGTCTCGAATTTTTCGCACGTTTATTTTTGCGTAATTAATCAACCTCGGCTTTGGTTCATCGCAAAGAACGTTCTCAATCAGTTGAGCATCCAGGACGCATCGAGAGCGTTAGTCGAGGTGAAATACGCCGTCCGCGTTTGCACGGCACCGCGAGTTCGTTGTCGTGCGGAAAGAACAAGCAGCGAGTGAGTTGTGGCACAACAAGTGGAAACACTGTCGCTGTTGTTTGTGTGGTGGTTGTTTGTCGCTGTTCTCACAGCGAAAGCTTCTGTACAGCAGTCGCAGCACTGCTGTCCTGTTGGTTTTGCACAATTATCAGCTGTACCAACCGCGACCATCTCGGCTACATGTACTGCTGCTCTAGCCTTTCTTTTCTGTTCCGTGTTCCCTACAAGGACTGTGTGAGTCGAACGCCACACTAGAATAGACACAGAAGATGCGAAGACCATCTTGCCAACCAAATCAACGGGGTATTTCGGCAAAACTATCACTCGGTGTTGATCATTGTCAAACATAAGGTTTCACACATAAGGTTGACAGCGTAGCGACCGAACGACCATTAACGTAGAAGGCGACAACAGCGCGCAAGCAGCAAGGCTGGCCTTCTGGCACGACCGCAAACATTACACCCGGCCTCCGCATCGCAAACAACCGAAGACGCAACACCGCCACGTAACATCCGGGTGTGAGTGTGCGTGTTGGCCTTTTACCTCCTGCCTATTCCCTTCGCCAAGAACATTCTTCCCCGGAGAAATTACCATACACCGCCCCCGCCCCCCCCGCCGGGTATGGGTGATTGGCCGAAAGTGAGTACCACCCTCTCTTCGGGAGGAAGTGTCCGGAGAATACGGTAACCAACGGTTGAGAGCGGAGAACCTTGGCCATCACACTTGAAAACGGGACGACAGGCGAAGGGTTTTTACCAGGCGTTTTTCATGGGGGTGTCGGCAGCAAACTCCCATTCATTTCTGCGCCTTCCAGCTACTCCCTCGATGTAATGACGAGGTGCACGCACTCTTTACCACGTTCTCTAAAACACTACCCCGGAAAGGGCATCCATTCCCCCGTTTCTTGCTGAAGAACATCTTCTTCCCATCGCGTGCGGCGCAGGTTCGCAAAGCACAGCAGCAGCGTCTTCCACAAAGCAGCACGTATTCCTCCGCACATTATTCAGTCGTCATCGTCGGCTGCGCCCTTTCTGCGCGACCGACTCGCCTCAAACCGTTGCTGCAGGCGCGTAACGACAGAGGTTGCACCCCGCTGGCCCTCGCGAGCGACTACGGCAGGGCTCACGTGGCGGGCATGCTCGTGGTTGCCGGCGCCGAGATAGAGTCGAGGGACCACCGCGGGAACACTCCGCTCATGCACGCCTCGCGCGAGGTGAGCACAACTGTGTGTGTGTCATTTGAGGCAATAAAACTGCCGGGGAAAGTGCGAAAAAGAGGAAAACGTTCTCACAGGAGGGGAGATTGCACCCTTATGAAGAGGGTCTTCACAAAAGCGTGGAAAAAAATGCTGGAGAATTGAGTGTCTCAGAGAGTTCTTCCGATTTCTCGAGAGAAATAGAAGTAAACTCGCAAGGTAGGTTCGGTATGTACCTACGTCTTCGAGGGTACACATCCCCAGCGTTTACCTTGTCAAACTCTTTGGTACGCTTGGTACGACTTCCCGCACACTGCGAACCAAACGTACCCTTACCTCACCGAGCCTAACCTTGGAAACTTGGGGTTCTCGTAGATTGGCACACACCTCCTTGACTTGCCCCACCCCACCCAAGAGGATGCGACGAGGCAAGAAGCACACGGTCGATTTCCCCCACAACGGGCGGATGTTAGGGAAGAAATCTAGCTGCTCGGGGCGGATACGCCCTCCTTCAGAGGCTTCACAGCACGAAGGTTGTCGTTTCGATTCCAGGGACCTTCCGTTGCGAGAGAACCCAATACCACGAAGATTTTCACGGCAATCCATTGGGTTGTATCCGGAACACACCGTGTGTCGTGGTTTGTACCCGGAACAACCGCGGGGAAACGATTTAACCCTCGCGCATGTATGCATACCACGGAAACGGCTTACATTGCGTCCTGACGGGGGTAAGTATCACCCTCATCACCGCCCCCCCCGCCCCGCGCGCGCGACCGCTCCGCCCCCCAACCCCCGGCCAAACAAAAGGGACATGGCGATGTGGTCGCCCTGCTCCTCCAGGCCAAGGCTGACGCGGCCGTTGTGAACAGCGAGAGAGAGTCTGCGGTGGCTCTCGCCGCCAAGTATGGGCGCGACGAGGTCGCTGTTCTCCTCCTAGACGCAGGGGTAAGCAAGCCGTAAACCAGTGCATGACTCCCTATTGTTGGGCGCGACTCCGTGGATGCTGGTGAGCTCCGTCAACGCCAGTTTTCTCCCACCCCCCGTTGTTTTCCGGGGAGAGGTGGTCAGCAAAGCGCGTGTTGTTAACGATGCACGCACTCGGCGAGCGCTAAAGAGATGGTGCCAGTCAAACTTGCATCTAGATTTGTTTTTTTCCAGGAAGTGATTGCCTGTGTTGCGCGCCCAGTCGGTCCGGGTTCCTAAGTTTCCCGTGTGCGCATGTTGCGCTTGCCCCGCCTTTACCGGCACTGTGTAACCCGCCTCTATCGTTATGCGCGTGCTTTACCTCTAACACGCTTGGCATGCCTCCGATACGAGGTTGTTGTACGTCACTGTCCGCCTCCCCCAGGCATACCGCCTTTGCTCTTGCTACGCAAACATCACGCTCGCACCGACTGAGCAAAAACGACAGAAACACGTGTACTGTCGTTCCATACATGTGCAGACCGGCATCTTCGCCATGTAACCGTTCGCGCCCCTCCTGAGAGGGCAAAGCTACACGCCGACAACACTCGACAAGGCTAACGCGGTATTCTCCCCGCCCTGTTGTCGTTTCTTATGCTCGCGTCCTCTTCACCTGTGTGCCATCTGGTTGGCTTTCACTGACTCAAACAAACAGGCTGACGTGAACGTAGCCAACGACAGAGGTTTCACGGCTCTTCTCCGGGCGGCGGAGGGGGGGCACACGACAACCTACCAGGTAAGCCACAAACCCATATGTAACAAAACAAACATATCTACTCTGTGTAGAAGTAAATGAAGCGAAAGGAGGGTCGGGCCGGACCTGCCTCGAAACCCCGTAAACTTCGCTTGATGACACGATTTAATCGAAACCGTCGCGCACAATCATCGGGAGTTGGTTCCGGCAAGCAACACTACGGCGAATTTCGGTGTGTGGTGGTATGTACCAGGTTGTGAAGACAAACCGAGCCTGCGTAGCCCCTCGCCCTTTCTCTCCCGTCCCATCTGCTCCGTCTGTTCAACCTGTGTCTGCTCACTCAATCGACATTAGAGGTAGAACACACGCCTTCGGTTGTCCGCGAAGCGCTCGCATGTGATCCGTTCGTTTTTGACGTACGCATCCTGGACGTACTCGGCATGACGACGCCCGACCCCGCTTTAGGGGGAGAAGGACAAAGTTAACTTTTCTTCAACGCGGGTGACCAAGCAAGCGCGGCCGGTCTACCGTACATAGCTCAAGAAATGCCTGCACTCACCACGTCTGCGTGTACACAAATGCAAGGACGACACGTATCACGCACACATGCGATGGCACTAACTGCGGTCAACCAGTTAGTGCGGTCGATGCTGATATTAACAGCACACGCGCGCGCGCGCAGATGCTCCTAGATCGAGGCGCCTACCCCCACGCCGCAACAACCACCGGGAGCACGCCTCTGCTCCTCGCGTGCGAGCGGGGCCACCTGGACACGGTGAAGCTCATCATCGCCGGAGGAGCCGACCTCGAGGCGTCAAACGCCCAGGGTTTCAGGCGAGTACTACCACCATGCGCTATTGCGCCTTTGCCCTTGCCCCCCGTCGATCGATGGGACGAGTTAATTGGTTCCGGGGAGATTTTTCCCCCCAGAGAGAAGGGGGGGGGCAAGTCGACAAGACGTCGAACACGCCGGGTCAAAGTGCGCGTGTGCACCTGTTCCCCTCGCGAGTGGTACAGAGTTGGGATGAAGTAAAGCGGCAGTGAGGTGGGGGCGTCTTTGGTTGTCGTGCCACAACAGCAGTGTGGTACCACTGCGTATATGCGTGAGAGGGCTGCGACGTGAGTTGCGCACAATTTCATGGCCGTGCCCCTTCGAAACGCTTGTTTAGCCGCTTTTTTTTTCGTATGACAACACATGCCTCTTTTGAAACCATCAATGTCACTCTTGTGAAGGAGGTAGTGGGGTTAGGAGCGGACGTCGCGCTTCCTCTGAGGCTGTGGGAAAAGTTGCGCCAAGATAGCAGAAGGGTTGCAATGCTGCGCTTCGTTGTGTCGCGCTATTAGAGTTATTTGGTAATTGGACCGTTGCATGGCTCGCCGTTCCTCTGGTGACCACGCGGGTACTACGTGCTTTAGGGGTCTCGATACTGCAATATCTATTCCACATCTCTTGTTGCTGCAACAGGCGCCCTTCCTCTCTTCTCCACTCGCTGCTTGCGGCCACAACACCACTAGGAAATATCCCTAACCCAAATAGCGTTAACCCAAATAGCATTGTGAACCCTCCCCCGTCTACTCTCTCCCAAACGAAATGTCGAAACGTACCCGGATTTAGTGCACTGTTGACGGCTGCACAGCACGCGCACGGTGCTCTCGCGGCGGAGCTTTTGAAGACCGGGTCTCGGACTAACACCGCAACAAACCGCGGCTTCACGCCTCTCATGCTCGCCGCTATGTACGGGCAGCACGAGCTGCTCACGGACTTGCTCGACAGGGGTATGTATTCCTACATGCTGCTCTCTGCACGCGAGAAGTTGCTTTCTTGAACCTGCTAGCAGTAGTGTATACTCACCCACCACGCAAGCTATCAAGAGGCTCCCAAGCAAAATTCCAGCGGCCCGGTGTGAACGAACGAAGCGTCGGTTCGGTGCTCCCCCCCCCCAGAATGGATGGGGGCGTGCATGATGATGAAAACGTCCCGCCTGGTAGGGCAGCAAGAAACGAGTATTCCCGCCCCGCCCCTGGCTCCCTTCCTCCCAGCGCGCAAAATGGTTAACAACGAAACAATCGGCAACGAATCGACCCCCCCCCCCAAAAAAAAAGACACTGCTTACCAGGAAGAGCCGCGCAAGGGGCGGTTCCTCTCTAACTTCACTTCTCCACACTTGAACGTATGGGTGTCTCAACTCGAGCAGCATCAGGCTTGCCCGGCCAGTTGGCCTAGAGATGCCTGTGTGCGGAATCCAATATTCCCAAAGAAAAGAACTTCGAGGAAATCGAGGAAATCAAAGAGGAGGGGGAGGATCAGGAGGGGTAGACCGACGGATGAGGCTAATTTTGCAATATCCTGCTCCCTTCCCCGCTTTTGCGATACATCTTCTCGTTAACGGTTCGGCGGCGGCGACGGATCCGGTTCGGGGACAGGGGCCGACCTGGACGCCGTGCAAGAGACCGGCGACACGGCGCTGAGCCTGTCCTCGTTCTTCGGTAGGCCTGGCGCGGTGGCGGAGCTGGTGCGTCGCGGGGCGGACGTGCAGGGCCGCGACCACGAGGGATCGGCGCCGGGGGAGGTGTTCGAAGCGGAGGTGGGCCCTGCTACCCGGCGTCAGATCCAGGTGAGTTGAGTACGTGGTCTAGATGACGACAGGTCACAGATAGCGAGTAACCCCCAAATATTCTTCAGGTGGTGGGGGCGGGGGTGTTTGTGGGAGACTGTTCTCCCGGAATTGATTTTCATGGGGTATTATGTAAGGAGAAAAGACTCGGTTTCGCTGCATGAGTGTCGTGACCGTTGTGACCCACACTGATCTGCCACTACAAAGCAGGGAATCAACCATCCTTCTTCCCTTATCGTTCGTTGACTTACATACGTATAACTCTGATTGCACACGCATACACCATGTTGGGGCCAAGAGACTTTAATGTTGTCGAGGGTGGCGGGCGACAAAACTAAAAGCGAGGCCCTCCTTCGCCGTCCACTCCTCTGGCCACACAAACCCAATCGCGTTCTATTCCCTTGGGGCAATCGCTCCATCCCCTCGATGAGAAAAGGTCTTGCTTTGGGGAGAGGAAGCGACGGAGCAGCTCGAGCGAGCTAAGGCGAAACCGTCGGACACTACGACTATCGAGGACCGTACGGCAGGATCCTCGGCTGTTGACACCAGGTAGAGATATCGACGGCTCGGGAGACTCGCCTCTGTGTACAGCGAGTCCTTGACAGCAGCAGCAGCAGCAGCAGCAGCAGCAGTATGCCGATCTCCAACATTGAGACAAAGGGAAATTGTGCGCAGAACGACGAGCACATGGTGCAGCGATGCAATACAAGGCGCGTGGTCGGATAACTACTTGGGGAAGTTGTTTCGAAAAGGGGGTGTGCTGCTTCCCCCACCTCTAAACAGCCTCATGAGCTGCGAAAATCGGAACGAATCAGTGGTCCAATCAGGGCCAAGCAACTGAACTTCAGCCCTCCCCCCCCTCCTCTCCCCCGAAACCCCACCAGGTACAGGCGATCGTCCACCCCGCAGGTTGTTTCGCAGGTGGTGTCCGGGGGTGCCACGACGAAAGCGTGGGGTCCGCTTCACATGGCGATTCACCGAGGGTCGTCGTCGGAGGTGCGGGAGCTGCTGACGAGGCCGGGCGTAGACAAGGAAGAGCTCCTCGAGCGGAGCTTCTCGCCGCTGCTGCTGGCCGCCCAGTGCGGCCGCGCGGACTGCATAGCCGAGGTGAAGAACGTAATTTTCTTTGTTGCGCTGTCGATCGCAGCTAGCTGTGACCAAGCTGACCAACTCTAGAAGACATCGATCGGTCGTAGAGAAAGACGCACACGCAAGACCACATATGTATATGTGTGTGTCATGTGTGTGATGACTAGTCTGGCTGGCAGGAAGAAAAAAACTTATTTTGCTGTTGTATGGACGCACACATCAGAAGACCCTAAGTACTGCCATTTTTTTAGAAAGGAAAGCACGCGGACGAAAAGGAACATTTTTGCCGTTGCGTCGTCGCTTATTAAGCAGTTGGTGTGATCCGTTCCTGCTGGCGAGACATTTCGTACGTGAGGAGAAACTCTCGTGGTCTGCGTGCGTGACTAGAAGCTCATTTCTTGCAGCACCAGCCCGTATACAAAACGATGCTATCATTCCGTGACGAACAGCCATGGCCGGAAGACCTTCCTCGACTGAAAACGCAACAACACGTGAAAGATATGACGGGACACGTTTAGTTGTGGGCCGTCAAAGTATATCGAATTGGGGGCTACTACCCTACGTCAACGCATGAAGCCAGACGACGGGCACGTGTACCGAGAACCAAAGACATGTTTCGTCGGAGCGCCAACAGCCTACTCGCAAGCAGCGCAAACCAAGCATACCACGATGTGGAGCCCTTATTCCCCCTCCACCGCCGTTCCGGCACCCATCCCGCCCGACTGTCTCTTTCGAGCATGCAAGATACGCACCGTCGGCAGACATTCCGAACGATAATATCTCCACCCCTCCCTCCTTGCTCCGGGTGAGGACGTCTTTGATCCTCAGACCACGGCCCTTCATTACAAAACGAACGATTCCCCCCCCCCTTCTAACCGCTAAGGCTTTCAAAACCATGAGTACGCCCCCCCACCCCCCCACCCCCCTTTTTTTCCTGCGCACGCACGACTCCCCTCCCACCCGTCAGCTTCTCGAAGGGGGCGCGAATATCGAGGCTCGGAGCGACAGAGCCTTCACCCCTCTGCTCCTGGCGTCGAAAGGGGGGCACCTGGACGCGGTTCGGGAGCTCCGTGCGGGGGGTGCGGCGGTGGAGGCCAAGAACGACCGGTCGTTCACGTCGCTGCTCATCGCTTGCCAGAACCAACACCGAGAGGTATGTTCGTGCATACAACACGGATATATGTTCATCTCGACTACGTTGTACTGAGCACGATCGATAGAGAAAGTTAAGTTCTCGTGGAACTCCTCCGTGTGTCATGTCGTGGCCGCGAAGGGGTTTGAAGAGAGAAGCGTGGTGCGCTGGGTTGATGGCATGATACCGTGGGGGTGGGGTCGGGGCGGGAGCCGGGGGGGACACAGGTTCCAAGTCGTTCTGTTGACATGATCATCGAGCGCCAATTTGTTTTTGTTCCATTGCTTTCGTCTAACACCATGGAGTATACAGGTATTCGATATTTCTAGAACCAGGGCACACGAAACATCATCGTTCCGTCAAGTAGGAGCTCCACTACACATTTCCCCCGTCTTCCTCACCCTCAACACTCCGCAACCCCGGACTGTGCGGGCAGTTGGCAGGAACTCAGGTTGCACGGACCGAAATCATCACAATTTCCATTTCCACGCTGAACATGCAATGCCTTTGTTCCAACGTTGAACTTTTGTGTACAACATGGTGCAAAGGGGCAACCAATCTCAAAATTAGACGAGCCTTTCGCGTAATAAGTGTTCACGCTGTCTTCTCGTTAACAGGGGCCGTGGCACGCCCGGATGATTGTCGAGCTTGTTCCGCGCGACGAGCCTCCTTTCGCCTGTTGTTGATGTCTTTGTAAAGCATTTCTCGATAGTCAGCAGCAGACAACTTGGTGTTGTCGTCGACAACACCCTTGTCGATAGTAATCTGCACACGGAGCGAGGGAACGAGGGAAATGTTACGTTAATTTTATTATCAGCGCCAAAGAGCCATGAAAGTGACGGAGGTGCGTACACCCAACCTCAGCAATAGTCTACAGACCGCGAACGAATATCAGTACAAATGAACTATTTCGCGGCGTCAACAGGTTCAGGGCGTTCCGTGCCGACTAATATGTTGATAGGCGTTGTTCCCGCGTCAGAAACCCCTACCTGAATTGCCCCGTGTGGGTAGTCGGGCTCGTCGTCTGGGTTGTGAAACTCGGCAACGTACGGGTGCTTGAGCGCGTCAGCAGCACGGACGCCCTTGTCGGGGTTGAATTGCAGGCACTGGGACATCAAGTCCAGAGCCTGCGCCGACGCGCTAGAAAAAACCTCGTTCAAGGATATTTGTCGGGTTGGTGGGATGGATTCGAGCATGGTCCCGGCGAACGGAGATTTGATGGACTGGACATCCTCCGGTGAAGGCCGTCCGGTAGATTCCATTATTTTTTCCAGCTGGGACGGTTGATGCCAGCAGAAAACAAGACGCGCCAAATGGACCATGTTGAATTGGAGCCCCCAACACATTATCGTCAGCTTAGAAGTTTGAGGCGATACCCACCGATTGGTAATACATGCTTGGCAGTCGCTGAAACTAAAAGAGAGGCACGTACCGGAGGGGCCCAACAGCATGAACCTACACAGCATCGATATTTATTTGTCTACGCAGCACTGCGTTGTCACACCTGATTCATCGTGGAAGTCCCAGGAAAAGTTGGCCTGCCACTCAACATTTCTCCCAGAATGCACCCAACCGCCCACATGTCGACTCCTTTCGTGTAGCGAGGCGACCCTAGCAAAATCTCAGGGGCCCGATACCAACGAGTCGCGACATAATCCGTCAAGTGTGGTTGAGGCCCAGCTGTCTCGGCGATGTTTCTGCACAGACCGAAGTCGCACATGGTGGGAGGTTCGTGACGAGCATGAGCGCAGCGTTTGAGACTACTAGAGTTGTTGTCCAAGGGATTGGTACGTTTCGGCGGCTTCTCCAGGGATAGGGCGGCGGTGCAAATGCTGCGTACCCCAGTGTACGTGCGCCAGTGTAACTCACCAGACCCGGGTAGTATCCAACAGACCAAGAGCACGCATACTTCCGTTTGACGACCCTATTGCAAACGGCATCCTAGTCGCACGAGAGAAGCACTTTTTTCCATTCCGTCTTCGCTCATCACGTGTAGCCAACGATGAATATTTGCAGGTGGTTCAAGAGCTCTTAACCAAAGCAACCAAGGCCAACGTAGAAGCCCGGACGGACCAGGTGAGCGGTATCGCCTCCCGGCTGGATTGTGTGCGACGCTTGCATCATAGCGATTTGTGTGCGAACTCTTGTGACGTACAGATCCCGTTGTGGCAATTCCCGGAGAAGAGGGTCGAGTGTGTGTTTCCAGCCGCCGAAGGAGACGGCAAGCTACTGATCCCTGATCGCACGCCCGAACGCCACGGTAACCTTCACTGCCCCCGTCAGCCACAATTTTTTCCGGGTGATTGCAGGCGACACGATAAGGGGGGGGGGGGGGCTGGAATCACCGTGCGAACCCCCAATAGAAGCTACAACACGCTTCGCACGGGTGTGTATGGCGTCAGCAACACACATGTTTCCCCCATAGGTCCAATTGCTGCTCCATTTCATTGATCTGGCGGGCGCACGGTTACTCATCATGCCCTCAGGGAGCCCTTCGCCCCCCACCCCCCCCTTCGAAATGCTACTGCCATCACGTCAGGGGTACACGGCACTGTTGATTGCCTGTCAGTGCGGCACGCTTGACCTGGCGGTCCTGCTGATTGCCAACGGAGCGAACCTAAGCGCGGTGACGAACAGACGCATGTCGGCGTTGCACCTTGCCGCCGAGGGAGGCGACGTCGACCTGGTCCGCATGCTCCTCATGGCCGGGGTAGGTGCTCCTTCGTGATCTTTTGGGGGGATAAACGCAGCTATTATGTGCCGAGCCCGCGCTTTTAGCATGTGAATCTACCTTCTTCATGATCTATGATCTATCAGTTAGGCTACGGTTCTAGGTGCTGGATGCTGTAGCTACACCTCTCCCCATTTCTGTTCTTTGCTTGGTGATGAGTTAGGCGCCGCTCGAGACCAGATCGAGCACCGGCGATACTCCTCTAACCTTGGCCACTTACTTCGGGCACGTGGAGGCGGTGGAGAAGCTGCTGGCCATGGGTGCCAACCCGAATGCCATCGACGATGACGGCCACGTTGCGGGTGAGTTGTTGTTGCTGAATACTCAGCTCAGTGCCTTCTGACGTCCGTTTTCCGGTCCAACTGACGAGGACGCCCTGCGTGTTGCCAAACATCCCAAAACGGTACACGCTCGAAAAATTAAAGGATGTGGAAAGGACCCGGGAAACAAACACAGCATTGCTTTCCATTCGAGGAGCGCTCTTCTTGCCCCCCAACCCGTTTCGTGCTCACGACAACAGCTAAATATTCCCGCCGCTACTTGGCAGGTCGTTGGTACGATGAGGCGGTGGCAGAGGCGGTGAAGAAGCAGATCAGCAAGACTCTACGAGCCGCGCGGAAGCAGAGGCAGGGTAGCTCGGTCGCCGTTGGCGAGGAACTGGAAATGCCGGACGTGGAGCCGGACAGCTCCACCGGTCTCTTGGCCTGAAATGCACCAGCCAGTTCGAAGAACGTAGTGCTGCCCGCGCGATGATGATACACGTACGTAGGGCGGGTCCGGGGTAGTCGTGCGTCTAGTCTTCTTGTATCTTTTAGAAAGGGGTAAAAGATAGCCCCCAAGGTAAAAAAACATGCATGATGAGCGTTTGCTGAGGAGCGTGAAGTGCGCATGTATGCTTACTGTTGATGTTGGCGATCGTGATGTTCATGTATTCCAGATTCAGGTGGTAAAAAAGAGGGAAGAACCGCCCCCCGGGGAATTGTTTGCAAGAATCCCCTCCCCTCCAAATCGTCAGAAAATTGGTATTTCATCGGTCATGTGCATGCAACAAGTATCAATGCTTCTCATGTTCCCGAAGTCAGGAGAAGTGAAAAAGTTGTTATTTCCGCGCCAGCGGCGTTCTTTCAGAACGTAACCAACACCATATTTTTGACTCGCCGGAGCTTTCCCGATTGATTGGAAATTCTCCAGCCTTGGAGTGCAGCCACTTTTGCTCAGACCAACTCTACTCTGAGTGGCGATACCCCCCCCTGAACTGGCAAAGCGGAATCGATTCCGGAGGAGATATCGACGCCACGAAATCGGGACTTGATGTGTCAAACAAAAATCGTTCGAATGACCCGAACCGATTGTTTTGCGTTACATTTTCTAGCGTGTTTTACGTCCAAGCGTTGTTTCAGACAGAACCGTATCCATCTTGTAGATAAACAAGTTTGACGAGTACATGCGGGACGGCCAAAACACGATTAGCGTGGAACCCGCGCTAGGTTCTCTCACTTATCATAGGAACACGGCTGTCGATCCCCGTTGGAAAAATACGCCTCCCGATACTGGGGTCTCCACGGAAAGGCATGGCGGCGGAGAGTAGACAGAAGTGCTTAGGCTCCGGGTTCGAGTTGCTTTCGGGGCGTCGTTCGTAAAAGCCTGGTTCTGCGCTTGCGTGCGTGTATGCCGCCAACCAGCCAGCACGGAAGATGTCCACCCCCACAACACTCAATACACAGGTGAGCGCGATTGAAAGACCATCTTTGATGCTGCGAGTGGCACTCGGGAGAGGAACGCATCCATACACTGTCGACGACGCCTTCATACACCGTTGGTGCCAGCCACATACAGTCATCCGGGGAGCGCTGGGTGACACGCATGTTGGCACGCATGTTGGCAACCAACAGCCTGGTCACGGCACCGATTAGCGGAGGATCTCGTATATGTCCTCCTATTTGTTGTTCGGTCTCTGAAAATTTACTCCCAAACAAGCGGAGACTAAAAAGTTATCAGCTTCTGCTTCAGAACCAGCAAGGCACCGAAGGGTCGCAGGAAGAGCGCATGTATCCCAACGCCCAGGCTCTGGACTGCACGCGCTGGTTGCATAATTGGCAAGGCCGGCTTTGTGTTATTTGCTGCCATGTTTGTGTCACGTCAATTGCCCGCACTTTATTCCTACCCCGCGGTCTCGCCGCCCCTCAACCGGTCAGCTTCTATCCGCAGGTCACGCAGAAGAAACTTTCTCAGCAATATACATGCATGGGTGTTCATTTTTGAACACAGAAGGGTTCTCCAGTTCCTCTCTATTTCGAGTGCACTTCCGAACAAGCGCCCTGACAACAACAGGAGGCCTGGGCGTGAAACACCGACACCCCCCTCCTCCGGGACTCGAGTTCCCCGCCGAAGCCGTCAAGGAGGCCCTGAGGTTACGCCCACTTCACAACCGAGGCAACAGACCTCCCCGCCCTAGAGTCTCACGACAGCACACGCCCGGGGCCAACCGACGACCGGCTATGTATACGTGCAACTTCCCCTCAACATGACCACGACAGCACGCCGTTATACAAAAGGCAGCGGCTAATAATACGAACTCGCCCCGACAAGGTACAGTTTCGATACTCTTGTGGTGACCACCTTCACCAAGCTGGGTCGGATCCTTATACAACGGAGAATGCCACGTCTAGACACCATGGCTGATGGCACCCCACACCCAAGGCGTTTCGGCCAATAGGACGGGCACTTTTATGTCTTTCTGGCGCTGCTATTTATGTGCACAAGAGAGGAGAGCGAGTGCCGCCAAACGAAACGCCTGAACCGGGGAAACCTCGACTCTTGGCTTAACGCCTACAAGTATACACGCCGAGGAGAGGAGAGCATCCTCCTTCCGGTACGAAGGCAGGAGAGGGACTTGCTTACACCTGGTAATCCTCGACAACCTCCCATGTCTTTCACGCGTTTGTGCCACGCGCTTTCATCGCGGCGGCATCAACGCCAGGTTTGTCTCCTTCACAAGAGTAAACCCCGGCGCGAGAGCAAATCACGGCCAACCTGAACACCAATAAGTGCGAGGAACCCAGCACACAGGTATCTTACGTAGTTATACAGAACCACATGCACCCAGCAGTAGAGACCTAGAGGACCTGAAACACAACGCTCCTCTTGTCCGAGGCTTACTTCATTACCAACAAATATCCACTGAATGCAGCGAACCCAAAGAACAACCACCCCCGACGATGTGAGGGAACACTGGGGTGCTCCCGCCATCCTCCGCAACACCCGAGAAGAAAAAAATAGGCGGCGCGAGTGAGCAAAGGTCTACCCGTGAAGGAAGGCGCGGCCTACATAGCCTACGCGCTCACGCGGCATTGCTGCGGTAGGCGGGTGGAGACGTGGTAGAGATGCGGCGACCCCCGTGTGCGTAACCAAATTTTCTGTCCGCTGCGGCTGGACACCCTCCGTCTTTCTATCTCGGGTTGATGGTACGAGGCGTGAGCGTCGGCCTTCCGTGGTAACGAGACTGAAGAGAAGGAAGAGCAGAGAAGAAAGCACACGAGCAGCGGGGTGGGAAAGCGCCTTCACAAACTGATACTTCAGTACATCCAGCAACTTCAGTACATTCGGGATCCCCTCTGGTCGTATGTATCAGTTTGTAAAGGTGTTTTTCGTACGTCGGCTGGTTGCTAGTTGCTCATGACGAAGCGGCAGCTGATTGCCGTGAGGACATCATGTCCATATACCAACGCCGAACCTACAAGCAGACGGAGGTGTTCACAACAAAATACGCTGCACGTGCACGTTGTTATGTAAGCTTCTGCCACGTGTATTGGCCAGCAGGGGTGCAGCTGCCGTCCACAAAGTCGCTTACCTCGGTTCTCGATCGATCGCGTTCTGTTTTCCGTGGTCTTGCTCGCCGCCGCTCAACGCCCAGCCACGGAGAGCCGTAGATAAAAAGGAGCGGGGAATTACCCCCTTTTGTCTTCGGTGTTTTTTTTTCTCCAATAATTAAGGATACAGTAGAACACGGACCCCCCCCCCCTCCCTCCCCCCTCGTGTTTCCTACGGGCCGGTTTGGTTTGTGAAGCAAACAACTGCTGCTTGCCCATGGCTGAGGATTAATCCAGTCCGGCGCATGTGCCCGATCCATCGCCGAGAGAACAAAATCAAAACGTCGCCTCTCCCCCGCTCTCCGCCAGCCGTTGTCATCGCTCTGTCTTCCGTGTGGGTGCGTGCTTTCCCTTTTTCCCCTTCTTACTGCACGCACGCAAAGAGAGCAGAACACAAGGCAGCAGGCAAAGCCGTGCGTGCGGTGAGATCGGCGGGTGGGAGATATACTACTGCTGTAGCTTGCGTGCGTGCGACGTCCGACCGCGGATTCAGGCATTTGGGGACTGAAGCAAGCGGATTCAATATTTGCTGGTAACGACGTGCGCGTGTCGCCCCTCATTACATCAACAGATGAAACACTATACGAAAAACATATGCATACCACGGCAACAAAAATAAACACAACGACCGCAGCAGTAGCAGGACACCATCGAAGTGCGTGGGACTATATTGTTGTTCGCAGAGCGTCCTTCCTTCTTCCATGTATCCAAGTTTTCGGCGAATCCCAAACAACGTGAAGGGGTGGCACCACAGATCCCGATCTAGGCTACAAACTCCGCACGACGCCATTGCTGCTGCCGTGACAACAGCTTAGCACCCCCCCCCCCCCCCCCCTTTACCTCTTTGGCGTCGACAACCCAGCAGCAACGGCCAACCTCCGCTGCTGCCGCCTGCCGGCCGTCGCGGCTACGACGCCGGTGACCGTCGAGGAACATGAGTCGCAGAACCACTGGCACACCACGGGGAGGCCGGTGACGGAGTCGATGGGGATATCCACATCGGACGCCGTGATCAAGCAGGACCGGTCCAGGTCCAGCTGGTAGCCCATGCACCAGGGGTGGAACCAGCGCCTGCAGCAGTTGCACCGTAGTGCAAACGACTCCTGTCGTTGCTGCTGCTGCTGGGTGTCAGCGGAAGTACTGCTGTCACCGGCAGCAGCAGACCCGCCGCCTTCTTCCTTGCCGCCACAAATCTCACACGCGGACTGATCGTCGCCCGCGGGCATGTCCAGTTCCTGCGGCGCCGTGTCCACCATGTGATGAAAGGGTTGTGGGGGTGTGATGTATGGCTGAGCAGGGCAGAGATACCACTGCACTGCTGCGGTGTGTGTGTGGCAACCAAGGTTATTATAGTCATAGTCTTTGGTGGCAACAACGGCAACCGGAGGGGGGCACGCGAAATATATGAAAAAGTGCAACTATGGGGTGCCGGCGGAGTCTGGACTGTGCCCTGTGTCTGGCTTCCGACTGCTGCCAACATCCCTGCTGTGCCACCATCAGCAGCACCACGGCCGTTGATCCGCAGCGAGGGGCGGGAGAGTGAGCTTGGTCGGGAGAGGTCGTCTAGCGCCGCGTGGAGATGGATGGGGGGGGGGCTCGAGCCACGGTGGAGCTGTTGCTTCACATCCATGGTTTCAAAAACCTCGATCTGCGTTCTCGAGGGTGAGAGATGATACATACGGAGCTGCAGCTGTATACAGCAGTTTTTTGCTAAAAAAAAGGCCAGTGTAGATTGAGATGCGCGGTGGGAGAACTACACACATTCCGTGTGTATGATGCGCAGGCAGATTTTTTAGCGACACCCAGCCTCTGAGTGTGTTTTTCCCCGAGGCAAACCGAGCGCTGCTGTCGGCGGTTCATCTCTGTTCCCGCACGTGCGTTTTTCTGCCTCTCTCTTCCGGCGGGTGCAGTGGCATACCACCACCAAGACGGGGGGATTATCACGAAGAAACTTTGTAGACCAAGAGGTCCAGTCTCCCCCCCCTGTATGGCATACCGGCATTCTGTTAAATCTCTCAAGGATTTCCGTAAAAATGAAGCATCTATGGAGGTGCTGCTGTATAGTGATGCGTAAGGGCGCGCACTCCTTGAGCCGCCACATCCCAATCCTACCGCCGTGACAGCAGCGGCAGCATGAGTTGTTGGACGTGGCACACCATTGACTTTTTCTCACACAACCACCGCGCTTTTCACCAGCCCGACGACCGTTCAAATCTGAAATACATGTTTTTTTCGTTTTTTTTTGCTGTGTTTTCCCAAAAGCAATGGCAAAGCATTTTCGCCCGTCATAATCTCGGGCTCAATCAAGTACGCGGCGGCTGACCACCGCGAAGAAATGTGCCGAAACGCAGCGAAGCCGGCCGGGGTCACGAAAAAAGTATATTTGAAATCCGAAAAAAAAGGTTGGAAAAAAATGTAGAACCACACACCCGCGCGCGCAACAAGAAGCCCGCTAAAGGAGGAGCCACGGCGGGAGGGAAGGAACCGATTTTGGGGTTTCCCGTTCAGGGTGCGCTGCTTTGTTCCTGCTGAGTTGGGTTGCTGCTGCTGCGGCTAGCAGTGTTGGTGGCAGCGTATAATAGCATACGATGTCAGTAAGAGAAGGTCGCCAATTAACTGTTCCGAACACGATCTGGTACGCAGAAAGATTCAAGAAGCCGAATTTGTGGTAGTTACGCCGCACAAAAATTGTAAGGAATAAGTTCATTAAAATTGGCCAACAGACCATATAGGGAACGTGGAACACGGGCTCTTCGGTGGCATTCAGGACGTGGTGGGATGTGTGTGATCACTCTCGGGCATGTGGCTGCCACAGGCTGCATGCTACCAGTTCAAGCAGTTTACAAGCATTGCCGCCATCATCACGTGTCTCGCTTGGACTCACATGGAAAAAAAACGGCGGCGGATGGTCGCGAGGCCGTTGTATGAGGGAACATAAAGTGTCAAAGAATCGGCAAGCTGCAACGGACCACAACTCAAAAGCAAGCCTTCCAGAGCACTGCTGTCGAGGGTGCGGATTGCATGACGAGAACTGCCTGTTCCTGCCGATACCTAGCACATGTATTTGATGTGCGCTCGTCAACAGGTTCTTTCGCAACCTACACTACCTCCTCCTTCCTCTACCCCCCACTCGTCTTTCTGCATCCGATGGTTGTATCTGTTACCTTTGAGAACATGCGGACCGCACGCGAGCGCTGAAGTCTTCCATGTTCCCTTTTATTATTCCTTAATGTTCCCTGGAAATGAGGTGTATGTTAAGACACAACGACACGGAACAGGGAACCGAGGGAATTCCGAGTTCCCTGTTCCTGTTCCCTGTTTGGTCTAGAGCGTTAAGACACGCCCTGTGAGTGTGTGCGTACAAGGCGCTGTGTCCTCTCTCTCTCTCCACAAAAGCCTTTCTTGTACCCGTCAGTAGCATAATCATGAGCCCCGGAGTGCGAGTCGTTGCGCTGGCATGCAACATGGTTGGTAGCCTCCCTCCATGACACAAGTTTGCGAGCAGCACGTGGGGGGCTGCGGTAGGGATAACAACGCACACTCGTGTACATATTCATATTCAAATGCAATCTACCAGTGGTTGGGATACTGCAGTAGTTCTCCGTCTGCAACTCGGAGTATTTGCTCCCCGCACGGTGCCTAATCGCCAGCTACACGACGTGGAGAGAGTCGATATTGCAGAGTTCACCCCCTGCGTGCTGTGCACATCGGCGACGATTACAATGTATCTATAACTGCTGGCGTGTTCCGAAGATGGATACAATGTACCTCGCGCGGGGTTTGCGTGCAGGAAAAAAGTTCGCAACAATGAGCGCTCCCATACAGTCTACATGCAGACATCACAGTGCTTTGCATGCCGGTACGTTTCTGTATGTATGCATACGACGAAACACAAGACGTTGGCCCGGCAGATTCTCTTTCTCTGAGCCGCGCGCGTGTTCCACACCAGACGTTGTCACGGCCAGCAGGAAAGAGCGACGGCCGCGGTCTTTGACAGCATCCATCCCCCCGGGGAATCTGCCCGTGCTGGAACAGCAAGTAACCTCTCTTCTTCGCTCTCGTATCTGTTGTATGTTGTATGCTTGCGGTGGCAGGCAATCAACCGGCGGGACCGAAACAACGGAAACATCACATCACCCACTCACCTTTTTTTTTTTTCTTAACATGACACAACGAATCCATCTCTATGATAGAAAAGAGTCAGAGACAGATTAGCAATGAATTCATAGAGTCAGAAAAAGCTAGCTGTATGTCTATACGCTTTTTTGCACCTCCACCGCAGCAGGGGGAACAGAGTGGGTCAACATAACAGAACAAAGCAAACAAAACAACAACAAAACAAACAAATGAATGAAGAAAGCTCCCGTGTGACCTTCCTTTTGTGTGACCCCACCTGATACGTCACGAAAGGGCCTGTAAACAGGCGCCAGAATATATATAATAGGACGAACACACACACACACACACACGCACAACTGCGCCAGAAACTGGTAAGCACGAAACACCGCATGCAAGCAAACAGGTGTTACATACAGACAGGCTCCCCCTACATAGGGGTCGTCATGTTGGTGCGCTTGGGTACAGCAGGCGCCACCTTCATGCTCATGCCAATATGTTGTTGTTTACGACAATTGTATCTATTCGGGTCACCATGCACATACATACACGCATGCATCCACATGCGCATGCATTATGTGGACAACACGCGCGCGTTCACCCATCTGATTATCAGTGGACAAGAAGTGCGCTAGCGGAGGCACGCCTTCTTGAGGGCCACTCGGGCGCCATTTAATTCGCTCTTTCTTTTCACCTACAGGCAATGTATGCAGACCATCGCTCGCACGTCCGACTCGGTAGGAATGGCCACGGCGCGGGGAGCTTTTATTGTGTCCGCGGATCCCCCCCCTCCCCCGTCAGAGTAGCAGTACTCATGTAACGGCCGGCAAGTATCTTTTCTATTGAGTGAGGAGCCCTTTATGGTTCGGTCCTCAAAAGCCGGGGGGGGGGGGGGGGACTCTTAATCCGGGCATGCCGTAGTCCTTAGACCATTGACCTCGCATCCCTACAAAGCCGGGACGGAGCACGCCGGGTTCTCACCGGACCAGGCTCTCACATCACCAAGCGCGAAGCGCCGTGAGGTATTCGGCGAGTCGCATGAAGGGTGCGCCGCATCCTGCTAAGGGTGTTCGGCATCTTGTGCTTACTTCCTTGCTTACAGATGACAGCTGCGTATGACTTAATTTATTTTGTGGTGCTTTCACTTCCAGAGACAGTTGGAAGCGCTGTGTAACCGCCTCGAGGGTGCTTGACCAATTTAACACAACGTGCGATTATCCCCTTTGCGCGGAGTGAGGGTTCTCGACCCCGCACAACATAATCTACTCGACCACCATTCATGGTTACCGCAAAAAAAAAAAAAGCGGTAACCTGGTTGCCGAGCTCACGAAGTGAATTGGCTTGTTTTACAACGTCGTTGCCAAGCGACGAAAACCCAACCCCGATGGCAAACATCGTTGCGCTACGGGGGGGAAAGCCGGGGGGGGGGAGCTATTATTGTACTGCTGACGACCAAAGTCTCCTGCTATGTACATAGCACGGTGGTGTTTGGCGACGAAAAGTAGATATTCTAATCTACAAGTAGATATCTACTTCGAAGTTGACCCGTATGCAACAGCCGTCAGTTCCACTGTTCTTTCGAGGGTTGGCGGGGTTCCGATTTACTGCTGCACGGTATAGACTATAGTGCACACCTTGAACTCGTGCCTGCAAACCCGTGTGCGGTGGTCGGTACACAGCAGTAGTACACAGCAGTTAGCAGCAACCAACAGCAGTGACGTACGATGAGTAGCACTCTCTCTCTCACGTCTCGCTTGCTCACTCGCGATTTGCCGCTGAGACGGAGGTGGATAGTTTCGCCGCAGCAGCTCGATCCAAAGCTCTTGCTTGCCCGCCGTGAGATTGCGAGCCATGGCAGCAAGCACCCCCCCCCTGCCCCGCGCGATCGTTATTGAAACATTTGTTGACTATTTCATTTCCACCGCAGAGGGGGTGCGATGGCTTCGGACTCCTCCAGACTGCGTGTAGAAACCATTTGGTGTTGATATTTGACGCCCACACCTGTGTGCGATAACTCCGGTATGTGCGGTGCTCGAATAAATCTTTGCGGGCCTACATACGAATGCCTCGGTTATGCTGCGGCCGCAGGCTCCGCGCGCACATCAGTCAACCAGTTAGCATGATGGGTGCTATTGGAGAAAGAAACCCACCCTAGGTTATGAGTAATCGTACCGCTGTGCGGATCAAAAGTTAGCCACACTTGATTATTGTTGAACGGGGGCGCGATGACTCGCAATCTACGGTAGTCGAACACCCCCGATCGCGAGCCAGTCGTGGAAACCAGGGGAAGACGATACAACAGATTCGATAGTTCTAGCACCTGGTAAACGACGGGCTAAATCGGAGCAAACGCCTACATACATCCGTCGAACGTAGCGGTTACGCCGCACGTCGAGGACGGGACTCTCCTCCTCTTTCTGAACGGAGGAGGTCTGTTTCGAGAGAGCTCCTTCTTTTGGTTCGGGTTTGTGGAGTTCTCCAGCTGGGGCACACAAAAACAAATTGATTACCAATGCGACACCGCAGCATCATTGTGAGGCTGCTGCGTGGCACGAGATACATTCACAGCTAGGACCCAAGGACGCTTTGGTGTGAGGCATCTTGTCTTCCCGTCTCTCTGTCTGGAAGCGAGGCTTCCGTACAATGGCAACAACGCCGAAGACGTGCACTGCTGTGCGGTGAATCACAAAGAAGTCTGGTCTATATTGTACTATTATCTCCTTTGTGGACATTCACCCTCTTCTTGAGATGCTGCTCTCGACACCAAAGTTGCCGCCCCAACAAGGACGGTTGTACGTAGATCGCGGCGCATAGCACTTCCGTCCGGGAGCTAGAGATGTGGAAACCTCAAACATAGTCAGTTTTTTTTTTGTTCTCAGCGCATCAAGAGGAGATGTGGTCCTCCCACGTCGTGGTCGTTTTTATTGGAGAGGATTGCATGATACATGTGAAGCGTCACACGACAGGACATGCAGTGGTCCAAACACGACATGCGATGGTGGGTACGCCTTACAGTATAGATTGCGAAAAAAAAACGGCAAACATTATATAGTGGTCCAAGCACGACATGCGATGGTGGGTACATGCTGCTGCTTCGCAGCGTGAAAGGAGCCTAGCTGAATGATCCACGAATACGTTCATGCCGCCAAGCCCAACAAAGCCCGGGAATTTGCTTCTGCAACGATCCCTCAGAATTGCGCCGATTGTGGGGAAATCATGCGTCCTGGCTTGTCCTTGGGTCCTGAAAGGAGACTCTTCTACAGTATTGGGCAGTTTCCCGGCAGAAATCCCCTTTAGCTTCCATGAACGGTGCCTCACAATATTATGTTCCTGCTCAAGAATGAAATATGCACCAGGGAGAATGACACCAAAACATGCATCAACTCTTTCCCGCTACAAACTGAATAGCAGCAGTGGCTTCAGCAGAGTTCTGTTTAGAGAGCAACCGACATGGACATATGAGGCGCGAGAGGCGGCAAGACAATGAGACAGAAAGAGCGCCGCTCAGAAGTGATATGCTCCCGATCCAGCGTGGTTGGCTCGCCGAGCCAAAAAAGATTGTCCGGCACGCGACCGCGGCGTGTCAACCATGCTGAATCGAACGCTACTTTGAGCGGCGGTTGTTCTTGTCAAAACGACATGGGATACGGAATTCCGAGCTCCGCGTGCCGCGTCCGTTTGTATGTAGCTCCGCGCTTGGTGTTTTTCCAGACATAATTTCTGTAGATGCCATCTCTGTTGAGCGCAGAGGGGGAAAAAGCTTTGGCATGTTTTGGTGCCCCCCTTTGGCAGGAGCGGAAGGTTGCCCCAGCAGTGTAAACCCCGGGGCCTTTTTGAAACGTGGCGGGGTGAACGCGTTCGTCGATCAGTCAGCTAGGTTCGTTGAACACCCACCATTGTGCATGTCGTTTGGACGTTTTGTACCCATGGTATAATGTCCCGTTGAGGCTCGCCCCTTTTTTATTTTTGTCGCCATCGCTAGAATATTAATATTTTATGCCGTTGTGCTTCTGGGCCTTGTGGCCGTCCTCTTCTTAAGAGCGTTTGTGGAATATCCACGTTGGCAAAGTGTTGTTTAGAACCTCCATTTTGGCAAGGCAAGTGTTAATTAAACGGCTAAAAAGCGAGCTAAGGGGCTTGCGCCGCGGTGGCAGCAGCAGCAGCAGCAGCAGAGTTACCGTAAGATAACCACACACACCCTTGTACCGATGTTCAAAGCCCGATTGCGCCAAACCGAAGGACGCGCGCCACGGTCAAGTGATCCGTTTTCGGAAAGCATTCGACGAGACTTGTTTCCCACGCCGCCATTTTCTGGCACCTCCACCGCTTTTGCTGCGGAGTGGTCCAGCTTTGGAAATCGGTTGATGGGGTATGGCACTGACGGCTTTTTCTCGCTTCTAGCATCGCATTTCTGTTGTTCTGGCAGCTTTTTCGACTACGCATGCTTTCCCGCTCAGATCAGAAAGGCGCTGCGTGACACGAATACACGTGTACGCACCGGGGAGATTGTCTTGGTAACACACGTGGTCTCCCAATCGACCGCTCTTGTCACCGGAGTGCGGCTTCAAACTCACTCGCAAGACGTGGACCACAGCTGTGTGCGTTGTTCTTCCTTGCTTCCTTCAATGCCCTGGGCGGTCCCGCCAGGAGCGTGGCCCAATTTGGTGGGCCGGCAATTCTCTCTCTCTCTCTCTCTCTATCTCTATCTCTCTGCTGTAGCTCGGCGGTCACATGTCCTTTTCGAGCTCGAATCACTTGTGTGTGTGTTCCAAACGGAACCGACTGCTCGGCCTCGGGCTTTGAGACTTGTTTCGAAACGCTGCCGACTAGAAAATCCACAGAGTATACCACGATGTATGCGAATCTAGCGCCTTGGACAATATCTCGCCTTTCTGTTCTTTTCCCTCAACGTGCATGCCATTTTTCGCTGTAGAAAAACACGTTTTTGTGGAACCTGGAATTTGCAGCAACCCCCCTCCCCCCCCCCAGGGCTGCTACTATAACGTAGGAAGGGCGTGTTCGTTTTAATAGTTATCGTTTCGGACTGCGACGGGGGGCCCACAAGAAACGCGCCGCGCCGAAAAGGAGAACAAAGGTTTCATGTTATTGGCCAGTAAAAAGTATGCAGGCATGTTGCTGTTTTTGACTCGCGCGCGGCGGAATGGTATCGACTCAGCTCGGTCACCGGGGCGCCAGGCCTGCGGTAGTGCTTGGGTTCGTACCTTGTCCGACTGATTGTCGCGCTTCGAAGCGCTTCTAACATAAGTTTTCCAACCGCAAGATACCAGCATACCTCACCCCACCCCCCTACTTGTCGAGCGAATCATGCGCTGTGATAATGATCGCGTCCCCGCTCGTACACGCCTTTGTGCGACGTGACGCTTGATCTCCAGGGTCTTCGGCGTAGAAGCAGTGGTGTTCCCGGTGTCGAACCCGTACGCCCCCGGAGTGCCGGTTCGCACGTTCCATGACCCTTCGGCGAGGCGTTCCACCGCGCGAGGCGTTTTGGTCAACCCGGCGGAGGGGGATGTCGACCAGCGGGGGTCGTCCGGGATAAGCGCGGCGGGACTGCCGTCGTACACGTCGAGCCTTCTGCCGATACGGTTCACGAATGTAAGAGAGAGAGAGGGTGGGAGGGAAAGAGAATGAGAGGGGGGAGGGGGGAGGGGGGGGGGCACGGGGGGGCGTACTCTTGTATTTTGCATGCCTTAGCGGTTAGACCATTGGCCACTCGAGAGGACGGAGAAATGTTCCGACAGGACCGATCACAGATGGCCAATCGTTCCTTCCTACTTTGCCAAAGGTGGCGGTGGGGGCGGGAGGGTTCAAGAATGACTCCTTACGCGAAAAACACACCGCCAGACATGCCGTCCTTTGGCACGGGTGTTGTTTTGTGATGAGACTTTTTTTTTTTCTGTCAAATAGCACTCTTCTCTAGCGAGTCGATTTCGCCGCTGCTGTGGTTTGGTGATGTAGTGAATGAAACCACTTGCAATAGGCGGCCTCTCCCCGATACGATGCGAGTGAGCCCGCTGTGACGTTTCAGGCGGATAGATTAAATCGTGGAACAAGGAAGAGCAGTCGCTTTGACTTGAATGCGCCATTGCCGCGCATCCACCAAACGCAAGCTTTCACAAAACTGTTGCGTACTCCTACGTCGTTATATTGTAGCTGTTTTGTAGCATTCCTTGTTTTGAGGAACCTCAGATCCAAGCGTCGTCCCTCGTTGCCAAAGGTGGTTAATATATCTGACGATCTGTGCGGCGAAGCGATTGATTTGTTGGACGGCGTAGTACAGGCAGGCGTTTCCACCAAGGGGCACTTGGCACAGGCGCTGCGAAGAAAGATCCGGCGTGGTCGATGGGTCCAATGATTTCGTTCGTCCTGGCAGCAGTTCGCATGGCCGCCGCATGAATGCTTGACGGAAAGGAAAGACATGATCGATCGCATACAGGGCGCATTTTTTGGCCCGAATTTCGGTCGAGTCGTGCCGGGGGGCGGGGCGGGCGCACGCAGAAGCACGATAAAACCAATCGCCGAGGGCAACAAGAAGCCCCCCCCCCCCCCCACCACCACCACCACCACCGCGAAAGCATGCAACAAACGAGTATGCTCCTAAACCCCCCACCTCCCGAAGGCAAGTAACGACCCACGTATCCCCCGCCACTGACGATGGCCTCCTCATATTTATGATACCACGACCGAAACGGAGCAGGAAGAAGTGCAGCTGAACGAGGGCTGTCTGTTTCGGGTGCACATCGACGCGGACTGGGTGGAGACCGACGTCATCGCCATCGAGTTCCGCCTGCTGACCACCCCGCTGCCGGAGAACGACGCCGCCCCTACGGAGGATGTCATCGCCGCCGCGGGGGCCACCGTTACTCCCGAAAAGAAACCGATCACACTCAAAGAGGTAGGGGGGTGGTGGTGGGGGGGGGGGCGTACTCAACTCATGGTAATTGCATGCCTTAGTTGTTAGACCGAGAGGACGGAGCATTATTCCCACGGGACCGATGGTCGGTGGTGGAGGGGAGGGGGGTGCCCCCGTTGGAGTGCCCCCCGTTTATATACATATGCAAGACTACGATTCTCTCGAGAAGTAGGGGGGTGCCCCAATTGGAGTGCCCCCCGTTTATATACGGATGCAAGACTACGATTCTCTCGAGAAGTAGTGTTGTGTCTTTCCACAAATTCCATTCTCTTCGCTTCTCCTCTGTAGTACGGGTATCTGGGGATGTTCCAGCGTGTGGCGTCATTCATTTTTTTTTTCGTCCAGCGGCGCCTTGTTGATGTGGTATATGCAAGACAGGGGGATGTTTCAGCAGTGTGTGTCGTGCTTTTTTGTGTTGTTCATGTTTTTGTTTTCTTCACGCAGTGGTGCCTTTGTTGGTGCGGTTTAGCGAAAACAACAAGGGGGAGCCGCACGGGTTGCTGACCGGATGTGCGATGTGCGTGGCGATGTGGCGGTGAAGTTATGTAACGGTGTGCACCACCGTTGTGAGTTCGTCATCGCATGGCTTGGTTGGTTCCCTCTGACTTCGCCCCGATTGCAGCGACAATGTTCGTCGCCATCTCTTGACGGCAATCTCTCGCCGATTCTCAACCCGGAGATCCACCTCCTTGGGGTTTCATCCCCAAACGCATGAACAATCACGTTCGTTTCCAACGAACACATCCTCTCTGGTTCTCAATCGCTTTAACCTTGTTTCCATCTAGTTTCGCGTTTGCTTGTCCCATGTTTCAAGACAGTGTAGAAACCGGCGGAGCCACCCACCGCGGCTTTCACATGAACAATTCACGCTCGTTCGTTTCCGACGAAACCAAACCAACAGGTGGGAAAGGTTACGCTACACACAAAGTGCGCCTCCTCGAAAGGTGGCCTTCACCGGTACCACCCCCTCGTCTTCAAGCAGCCGCACCTGTGCGTGGTTGACATCACGCTGCACATGGTGAGATACTCGCTCTTGTTGTGGGTTTCAGCAATAGATGGAGTTACGCACGAAAAGCAGTGGATCCTCCCCAGTCTATTTGCTCGTAGGCTCGAGTACACTGGTGTTATGGAATACATGGGTATTATCCTTCTGTAGCTGCCTTTTCAGTGTCTCTTACCTTGAGGCATGCTGCGGGAAAAACCTCTTCATGTCAACTACGTTCCGAATTACCGGTACTTGACCGCCGGGGGCAGCAAGCAGCTTCGTCACCAGCCCGAACCCCCCACCCCCCAAACCCCCACCCGTGCCATTTTCCGTACGACGAGCGCAGGCGCTCACCTCCGTCAACCACCCGGGGGGGCCCGCGGGTCTCGCCGCGGCCATCGCCG